ATAAATAAATAAATAAATAAGCAAGCAAGCAAGCAAGCAAGCAAGCAAGCAAGCAAGCAAGCAAGCAAGCAAGCAAGCAAACTATACAAGAAACATAATGGAAACAACCCTTCTCTTAGTCTTTTTAATTATCCGTAAAACCCTTTTTCTTTACCCAAGTCTAATTCAGTTAATATTCCAGAATTCCCCTGAATTTTTGCCTGATCTCCATATGGTCCCTCTTTATTCTCCCTTCCTATATCTAAGAAAGTTTTGAGCTTCTAGCTGGTTATCACCTTTCAAACCCTGCCTCTTTCTCCAGCGTTCAGAAGGAAAAAGATTAGTAACGTTTTGTCTTTTTAAGTATTCAGTCCTGTATTTATTATATGGAAGTCACACTGAACTCAACAAGGGTCTAGTTCTGGGGATATACATATAGGCTTGCAGTATTAATATTTTTAATTTTTTTTAAACTTTCACAGCGAATTTGTCCTTTTTCTCAGTGCCTGGTTAAAAGTGCAAACATACCAAAATTATCTTCAGTATTTTTTCCCATTTATTCCTAGGAAGTCTTAACAACTCAATTTCTATTTTGTTATATTTGTTCATTAAAACTTGATTTCTGAAAAACTAATATCCACTAATTCCTTGAGTACTTAACATGGGTAATTTAATATACCTGCTCAAACAATTCAAAGTTATTCTCGCTTGGAACACTTGAATTTTATTTTGAGTACTACTCCAGTTCTACCAGGTGAGACTAAAAACAGCCTATCTTTTGACAGAACAGAGTCAGAGATATAGCTAGAAAGTGTTCCCATGAAACACCTGAACTAAACGCCTCCCTGGTCATTCATTTTCCAGAAAAGCTTATTCTATGAAAATGGAGAAGCAGTTTGCAGATATATTTAGAGATACATGGCACAATCCTAGGGTAGGCAATGTCAATGGGGATTGTGACTTCATTCTCATGAAGAGTTAGCTATTGCCTTCGTTTTTCAGGACACAAACCAACCATTCACTAACAATACCAAGATGGCAAAAAAAAAAAAAAAAAAAGTAAATTCAATGCCATGCCCACTAGCTAAAGTTTGTTAAACTTTATTCTTAATGCACAATCCTAATCTTAATGCATTAATAGTTGTTCATGATGTTTTATAGGACTGTGCAGCGATCCAGGTTTGAAAAGTAAATGGTTATTTGGCTGTGCCATGTGAACCCAGAAAAAGACAGACCTTCTTTAAGGAGCTGCTGACAGGTGTGATGCAAGTGCTTTTGTGTGCTTAAATAATCTTTTGTCTTCGAATCTGGATTCCTGCATAGCCCTATGTTTAATTGACCAAACTGACCAAACCTAAACCTGGACTACATATACTATTATTTAAATAAGCAAATATTTTATGTAATCTGGATTTAGGTTTGGTGGGTTAATCAATTAAAATCATTTATTTTCTCTATGCAAAGTTCTATTAATTCTATCTATATTTTCCATTGAAAACACAGAATACAGCACATCTCCCTTTTTCCCCACCTTACCACTATGGTATTGGAAAAATGAAATTTTATTATTCTCTTTTTCTTCCAATTAAATAATGATAGCACCACTACAATACAATTCCAGACACTTTGTTAAAAGACAAATAATGGAATCTATAAAATCAGATAAGCAATTAACACAGTAATTCACTGAAACACTTTCAACACTTTTTCATAGTTATGATATTTATGCCAAATCAATGATACAGTACAATTCACTTTTTTTTTTAATCCAAGTGTTATAACTACTCGATTCAATATTTCTAAGAAATGGAGATGTAGCAAACAATTTAAAGCCTAATGCACCAACTTTGAAGCCTTTTAAAATGAAGAGAAGCTTAAATACTTTTATTAATATTTACAGAGGCAGAAATACAGCTAGATACAATTTTTATACCCCTATTTTCAGTAGGCTATTCTTAGAAAGGGGTATCAGAACATATGGATGACCTTTCATGCAATCTATAAGGCCCTGTTGAGAAGTTACAAATTAAAATACATATTATTATTCTTAGGAAGGAGTATGTATGTTCACCACCATGAGTTATTTATAAAAAATAATAAAAGTGGGATAAAAATCAAATAAATAAATTATATTATATTCCCACAAAATATATTAAATAATTATTTTGAACGTGTTTGAAATTATTAACTGCAAGACAGTACTTACCAAAACATATGTGTTTTGTAGAGGCCTATATTATTCTGAGTCAAGGTGGAAAAGGTGCTTTGGATCTGGTATGGGCACATTCACTGTACCTGTCAGTAACTCTTTTAAAAAGTTGCACCTTTTCCTGGTCTTGCTTGGTAGCACGCAGGCTCAGGAAAATACCTGATTGAATTAAGGAGGGGTTAAGGTCTTGAAGGAACTTCTAATAGATAAAGAGTGTGCCTACATCAGATCCAAAACATACCTTTCCTGCTTTGGGTTAGAATACTGGACACCTCTAGTAATTTGTATGTAATCTTATAACAAAACTCAAGGCTTTTCTAAATCATTTTGGTCGATCTTTTTAAAGTAATATCAGAAGAATATCCAATCAAATCTTACCCATTTTTGAAGTATAAGACATGGGCCCTCTGAAGTCCAGTTTCTAAAAAATATCCAAGTTCTTGTTCATGTGTTCCAGGCCCAGGCTTAGGACTTCTGTTCTGCATATTGGTAATTATTACCTAGGAGATCATAGAAATAAATGCACAAAATCCCCCCAAATGCTCTCTTTCCTCACCAGTGGGAGGCAGAGACAAAACATTATACCACCGAAAAACACTCATATATACACAGAAGGTCTGTCATGTTTGCAAGCTTTCTTCATGGACACAATTGGTCTTCATGCCAGACTTCTACATTAAGACAATACAGATGGGTAAGCAGTTTACAATAATTTTGGTTTATTTGTGGAGCATCAACATATTGCTCAGAGGTTGGCAAAATGTAGCTGTGTGAAGCCCTTCAGTAACCATTTTGTAGCACTTAAAACCAGCTCCTGATTTTCAGGTATGATTTGTCTTTTATCTTGATTATGGCTTTGTTTTTGTTTTTTTGTTTCTGCTAAGATAAAGGACAAAATGGGCATATTTAAAGACTTTAAAGGATAACTGTACCTATCTCACACTTTAACCTTCTCAAGCCATCAAAAACCGGGTAAATGTTTTTGGCTCTATCCATTCAGTGATATAATCATACCACTGCCAGTTCTATCCCAATTTTTTAAATGAAAATCCCCACAAATGCAAACAAAGCCTGACTGCCCTGACACAGACACACTTTTCTGGTGGGTAGGGAGGCTCTGTCTCTTCAATTATCATTGTGTAGTTTTACCAATAACTGCGGTGGACTGGTTTTGCTGGGAGATGTGGCATACAAATGCAATAAATAAATAAACCTCTAACTCCTAACTATTGTCCACTATTATTTTTCACCTAGAATCATTTAAATTTAAAATAGTCTTCCAAAGAAGGATGGGTAAGTACTGACTACAATTTATTTATTTTTAGCTCTGTCATGAAATTTGTAAAATTTATGTCAAATGAAACTCAAATCTAAACGAAAACATTAAAATGGGAAAATATGACTGAAAATGTTAGGAATAATCTGGCTGGTTTTGTTGGTTTTATTTATAAGGCTAGTGGTTTTATATGTTTTGTTTTACTCTGTTATTGTATTTCATTGATTTGTAAATAAGCTGCCTTATTTGGATATACTGAAGACAAATACCATGAATGGAAATAACAATTCTCCCAATATTAAATGTTCATATAAGCTGCAACTGCTACTGCAAAAACTGAAGAAAAAAATCGATTCAATGTTTCTTTAGGAGCATTCTGAAGTTTTAATAACAGTTTAGTGAATAAATTCCTATGAGTCCATTTTATAGTTTGGGAAAATAAAGTAGGAACATAAAGAACACCCCAACTCTACATTATTGTTTAAAAATTACACAACCAATAAGCTATGTGGAATGCCAGCTTTCATTAAGAACAAAGCTTTAACATATTAACCAAAGAAAACTCAAGAACATCATGGGGAAAGCTATTTTTACCATGTGAATTCATAGGGAGGGGGTTTTTTTTTGTATTTTATGGAAGTCATATTCTTGAGACAGGGATAAAGAATCATACAGTTCTCAACAGAAAGTGTTGGACTACTTTCATCTAGAATGCCTGAAGTTAGTCATTCACAGGGGCTATTCGGTTGCAGGAAATAATGGGCATCCTATTACGGCATGTAAAAGATTAGAACAGATAAAAGAAAATGCTTCTGCTTTTTAGCTGGGATCTATAAAAAATAATTTATACAGAGGTCAAGAATGGGTTATTTAAACCAAATAGTAAATTGTACATCAAACCTTTTTAAAAAGAAATTTAAAGCCACATATAGTAGATGGGAGTAATTCCAAGAAAGAGAAAAAAATAAAATCAAATTAGTTACACTATTGAGATTAGCTATCCCATCTTACCCTTTCTATCTCCTGGAGATATAGAAGGGCTATATCCCCAGCCTTCTCATAGCACATAATAATTTCCTGCTCACGATCTGCATGGAGGTTGCTCGTTGAAGAGGATATTGGTAGTTTTTCTAGACAAAGACCTAAAAGCAAAGATAATTTAATTTAAGAAAATAACTTGGGACTAAACCAGTCTCTTTTCATTTATCAAATGCTGAAAACAGTACCACAATTAAGTGTGTGTCAGGACATCTGAAAATTCTGTTGTACGTAACTGAGAAGCCATACCTGTAAATGTGGTGAGAAAATATGTAGTGAGGTTCATCAATACGCAGATCACATCCAAAAATACAACTAAATAGGTCTATGATAAATTTATATTACACTATACTTAGTGATTCAAAGGAGGGAATATGGACTTAGAAGAAAACACTGAAAGAAATCCAAAAGTGACAGTACAATCATGATTTTATACATAATTTTAATCATGCTAACAAATTTGTGAAACATTCCAACAACCACTTTAAACATTTGGGATACATTTTTTTAACCAAAGAAATGATTCGTATCACCTTCTTCAGTTATAGGTTTAGAGATATTTCAAAGGTCTTTCATTTCCTTTCTGTAATTTCTTTCTAGTGAGTTTAATAAACTGTTTTGGATCCCCTACTAAATAGACAAAAAATGGAATTATCAAATGCTAAAGCTAACTGGGGCCCATTTTACTTTCAATAAATTCTCAAAATAGGTTAGGGAGCATTTTATATTTTTCATAAATTCAGTATGCTAAAGTAGCTTTTTCTTGTGGTAGCATGCACTTATACACACCCCATATATAAAAAATAATTTAAACAGATGCGGGGTCCATTTGTTCTCAGGGGTGGGCCAACTGGATTCCAACAGCATATTAAGATGCTACCAAAAATGGTACAAGAAGTTTTAGGAAGAACACTTGGGTATTTAAGTTCCTGTTAAGAAAATAAGTTTTTTAAAATATCACAGCAGCATTAAAACAATAGTTTTTAATGAAATGATAGCAAATTGAAGAGAACTATCCTCAGTGTATTCAAATTACAAAATAAAATGCAACAAGAGGCTGGTGGCATCTTAAATTTGGAAGTGCAATGGAAAAAGACAGCTCAAGCAGAGCAATAATGATGCTATTCCAGTTATTAGTACCAGTAAGAAAATACAATAAAATACAATCTTATTAGCAGTAAGACAATGGGTTAAAAAAAAAAAAAAAGAGCCAGAGTACCACTATAAAAGAAAAGCATAGAAGCAAGATATACAACTTTACTCCTAACATATGGAAGGCTGCAACAGATATCTAGGTTTTTGGCACAGGTCTCTAGAGAAAGCACAGGTAGCTCCTAAAACCAACACAAGCACAGCTACAATAAAAAACTATGAATGAACAAAAAGGTGGGGAGGAAACCATTTCCATCACATCTTCCTAGTGTCATGCATCCCCTGCCACATTCATTGGTTCACATTCACCAGTTCCACATTTACCACATTCGTTAGTCTAAACCAGGGGTTCTCAAAGTACGGCCCGTGGGCCGGATACGGCCCACCAGGGTCATTTATTCGGCCCGCCCGCCTGACTGGCCGCCGCTGCTGTCTGTCAGAAGCAGAAGTGTCCGGGCTGTGTTGGGAGCTGCAGGCGATGCACAAGGAGGGAGATCGCAGAGCCGGACTATTCT